CAGACTGCATCTGCAACCCCTCCTGACCTTTGAGGGGAAAACCCAGGCAAGGTCTAAAGACTCAGACTGGGTGCGGTGGCCCCCACCTGTAATCCCAGAGGCAGAAGCCAGCAGATCTTGATGAGTCAAGGCCAGTCCGGTTTACATAGTGAATTCTAGGACAGCCAAGGCTACACAGTGAGACGCTGTCCTCTTCTCCTTTCCCACCCACCCCCATCCCAAAGACCTCAACCCTGGGAAGAGGAAGGACTACATAGAAGAACAGCAATAAGGAGACAAAAACTCTGGTTTAGGGCAAAATAATCCAGCAAGGGTGGGTGAGAAGGGAGGGTCAGGTCTGCTCCCACAGAGACTCAGGTAGCATAGCAGCGCCTGAAGACTCTGGGCCTTGACAGCATCTTTGTAGAAAGGAAGACAGAAGAGGTACCATAAGTATCATTTAGCTCTAGGAGCGTGCTCATGGGGATTATGTTCTCTTCCAGGTCCATGTCCCACCCTTGTCTGAGTCCCCTGGATTGAGCTTAGACCAGAATTGTAATGACAACATGGTAGGGAATGACCCCGGAGTTGGGACAATGTTTCATGGAACGCTGGTGTTGAGAGCCTGCTCCACCTTACCCACCAGTGAGTCACCTAATTTAGGCTAAGCCCCAAGCCTCGAAGCTCTCGCTCCTCTTCTGCACCCAGCACGTCTGGATCCCAGCTTGAGCACAGAGAGGTTAGAGAGGGTTAGGAGGCCCCTCAAGGGGAAAGGAAATGTTGAGAAGATGGCTCTGCTCAGCACCCATGTACTCCTGACGCTAGAGCATCTGTCTCTGTTCCCCTAATTTAGCTTCAACCCTGAACCTGGCCTCATTTCTTCTTTCAGGCTCTTCTTGATCCAACTGCCCCATCCCTCTCCAAGTGTCCCCCTCCTGATCTGCAACTGACTTCCAGAGCTTAATGTCTTTCCAGGCTGATCCCTGCCAGTCTCTAAGTGACCCCCACACTGTCCTTAAGCCCACCTCCTGCCTGGGACCCTTTCTTGAAGGCACTTCGCCTTGAGAAGAAGTGAGCTGTGCTCTGAATAAATGTTATGCCAAATAGATTTCCATAGCTTCGCCTTCTTAAGAAAGAATGGGGGGCTGGAGAGATGGCTCAGCAGCTAAGAACGCTCCGGATGTGGATTCTGCTCAGCACCCCCAGACCACTCACACTCATCTGTAACTCCAGTTTCAGGGCATCAGATTCCCACTTCTGACCTCCTGGGGAACCAGGCATGCACATGGTGTATTGACATGCATACAGGCAAAATACTCATACATGTATTTTTAAAATAATACTTAAATGTCTGGGGTGGGGGATTTGGTCACTCAGGGGGCTGAGGAAACACTCTAAAACGTTCTGAAGTAAACGACGCTGTCTTCAGCACTTTTCTCTCTGCCTCCTGCAGATCTAGAACGGGGTTCTAGGTGGCAGAACCTCTGTTTGGGCTTGGTTTTATGTGTTTTTATTTCATATGTATGGGTATTTGACTGCATATATGTAATCGCACCATGTTCATGCAGTACCCATGGAGACCAGAAGAGAGCAGATGAACCCCTGGAGCTGGGGTCATACATGGTTGTGAGCCCCAGTGGATACTGGGAACCAGGCTTGGGTCCTCCTCTGGAGCAGCAGTTCTTTCAACTTCTAAGCCGTCTCTCCAGTCCCAGGACCCATGTTCTTAAATTCAATTAATTATTCTTGCGTGTGTGCACAATGTTTGTGAGCAGGGGTGATGTGTGGACAGTGAAGGCAAGTTTTATGGCATTTGCTTCCCATGGATTCCGGGGATGAGTCCCAGATCGTCAGGCTTGGCAGCAAGCACCTTTAATTTCAAAGCCATTTCACTGGCCCAGAATCGAAGTTTTTGAATCCAGGGACTTTTCTGGCCCACCAGAGTGGGGCCTGTCTGCCCTTCACACATTATACGTGCAGACAGTTACATGTATGTACACATAATCCTGAAAGTACAGCCGTATTTAATCCATGTAAGTATGTATATGTTTGAACATGTCTTAAACCAGAATGTAAACTCCATAAGGAAAAGACTATTTTCCCCCATGATATAGTCCCAGTTCTAATAATAGTCCTGGTACATAATAGAAGTCCACAGAAACAATGACACTTAACGAACACATATTTGCAAAGAAATGCAATATGTCTATGCACACAGATATGTCTCAATGCTACCCACTTGTACATATATATATATACATACATACATACATACATACATACTTGTTTATTTATTTTTACTTTTTGAGACAGGGTCTTACTATATAAAGCAAGCTGGCCTCAAACTCACAGAGATCTGCCTTTGTTGGGATTAAAGGCATGCTCCACCACACCTTCATGAATCTTTTTAAAATATTTTTCCTGTGGAATTTATTTATTATTATTTTATGTTCATTGGTGTTTTGCCTGCATGTGTGTGTGAGGGCGTGGATCCCTGAAACCGGGATTAGAAATAGTTACAGTCACCCGGCGCGACTGGAAATTGAACCTTTGTACTCTGGAAGAGCAGCTAGTACTCTTAATCGCTGAGCCATCGCTCCAGCCCTCCCGTGAAGCATTTTTGTACACTAATTTTTCCAATTTCATGAAAACTCTTAAGGCCTCTTAACCCAGGCCCAGCTAAAATCCCAGAAATACCCACTAGATGGCAGCCTTTCCACAGCGCCTGCACTCCTAAAACTTGCCAGAGAGGTCGCTTTTCTCCACCAAAGACACCATTCTCATCACCTTCAGCTGTGTTGTGAGCACGTGCTTGGTCGCCAAAGTCTGCAATTTTGGTCTCTTCAAAAATCAAGTTCTATTGGATGGGCGGATCCCCCCTGGAATCTCCAGTTCTGTCCAGTACTCAGATCTACGTGTGGTGTGTGTGTGTGTGTGTGTGTGTGTGTGTGTGTGTGTGTGTGAGAGAGAGAGAGAGAGAGAGAGAGAGAGAGAGAGAGAGAGAGAGAGAGGGCCCTTAGAGTCTTATTAAGCAGTAGTCAAACCACTCCAAAGATGGAGATGGAGTCAGTGCCTTTAGCACACCCGCGTCACACACACACACACACACACACACACACACACACACACTCCTGTACAGACAGTTTTCTCCATACACCCTGTCCCGAACGGAGGAGAAACGCAGCCAGGGTTAGCCAAAAGCAAGAGAACAGACTACCCTAAAGATCGAAGGCCAGGACCACAAGTTTGCGAAGGACCTGATTCTTATTAATCCTGCCGGCCTGACTCCCAGCCTCCGGGTGCGCACAGAATGGAACTCATTTGCTACTTCTTGGGCAAACGACTTAAAGTCTCAGAGGTGGGCGCTGGGGGTAGGGTGATGCTGCATAGGACATCTCCCACCTCCAGGCCTGAGCCTCTCTGGTTCGGCTCTCCAGGAACAGCACACCGCGGCTGTGAGCCATCTACTGAAGGAGGCTTAGAAACCCGTGGGGCTGCGGAGCCGGGAGTTCCCGCAGCCGCTCAGCTCCCCCGTCCTCCGCCCCTTTCCTCCCTCGGGAGCCGCGGGAAATTATTTATTAAAACACCGCCCGCGCTCTCATTTATTTGCGGTGAATAATCCTAGGCATCTCAGCGCGTTTATTAAACCTTTCCCGTCCCCGCGCCCGCATTACTTTAATAATAAATCGCGTGTCACTTTCCAGCGACATTATTAAACCCGGTCTTCTGCAGCAAACGCGGGGTGCAGGGAGGATGAAAGCGGTGGGCCGCAGCGTGTTCTTCCACTCCAGGCATCGAGGCCTAAACCCTCAAGGAGGCAGAAGGAGAAACTGAGGGCCCAAGGAAGTTACTCCCTGTAGAGGCTGCCGACACAACAGACTCGGGTTTGGGCGAAGAACCAGCCCATGTTCTGCAGATGGGTGAGAGGGGACAGGCAAGCCACAGGCGCACCTTGGAGCCCCCGCAGAGCAAAGAACAAGCTACGGTGGACTCAGGGACCCAACCCAGGTCCCTTCTCGAAGGGTGGAGCGGACATTCTTGAGATCACACAGCAAGACGCCCCCCACGCCGCAGGCCGGCTCGACCCAGACTCTTCCACTCTCCTATTCCCTAGCACTTCGCTGCAAGTGCTCCTCCCAAGCAACGGAGTGCGATTACTGGGGACCACCGTGAGAATCTTATTGGGAAAGTGGCTGCCGCCAGGCAGAGACATTTAAAGATACAGTGCAAACACGACCGAAGGGTAACCAGGCTCCAGGATGGGGTTCCAGGCCACGCCCCTCCCAGAGGTCTCTGCAGCCTGCGTTGGGTCCCACAAAACAAACCCAGACACAGAGCCAAGAGCCGTCCCTCCCCACGGTGGCGCCAGCTCCGGGCGGAACCCAGGCGCGTAGGAGGTCGTCGCTTTCCACACACCACATCTTGGCCTGGTGACTAACTCCAACCTATCCTTAGGCAATTTCATAAACTCCCCAGTGTCCCCGGGCTAGGTACAGAGAATAGAAGGAGAGATTTAGGCCAAAGAGCGCTTTTGTTAAGGACCTCAAATCAGGTAAGACAGGTCACCACTGGGACAGTTAGAAATAGGGTTACTATGACTTCGGGTTCAACTGGGAAATGGGAGGGGAGCAGGGGAAGGGTGTGGCTAATACGGGTGCCCCAATCACTCAGTTTAAGCATTCCTATTGGGGTTCCACTCACATAGACCTGGTTCCCTACTCTGCCTGGGGAGGAGACAAGAATAAGGACTAGGGAACAGGTAACCTATCCCTATACCAACAGGGGTTAGGGGTGGGATCTGTGGGGGGATGGGGATAACTTCTGCCCACCCTCCAACCAGAGGCTCTAGGGGAGACGGCAGTATAGGCCTGAGCTCAAGCCTTCTCTCACAGAACAGGCCTGTGTTTAGGGTTTGCAATCACTACAAGCCAGAATCCTGTTGAAGTAGGGGCCACTGAGGGGTGTGTGGTCTCCGTGTGTACATCTGTAAGAACTATTTGCAGCAGTGTGGCTCGGTTTGTCTATATATTTTTTTATTGGTGCCCACTGTGTCTAGTCACAGACTGGGTGGGCTTTGTCCACTAGAGCGGCACAAGACTAGAAGCTGACCTAGCCTTCTCGCTGCACTGAGCTAGATCAGGTCCACTGTGCTCTCACAGAAAGAGCTATGGTTAGTAAGTGCCCTAGGTGGGAAGCTTCTGGGAAATTAGTTCTGAGGAGAGGGAAACTGAGGCTACAATCCATAGAAGGACCCTGCTCGCCCTGTCCGGTCTTCTTCATGTCTTCTTCACAGCAGGGGTAGCTACTATATCCACACGCCCACGGCCACAGATCAGAGAGCTGGACCTAGTAGTAATCCTCCAGCTCTTCATTGTCTGCCTCTTCCTCGGGAACCGACTTCATCGATTGCAGCTGGGAGAATCCTGTGGCGTTGAGCTGGTCTGCAAACACGTGATGGAGAAAGATGAGAAGGGACCCTGGTGACGCAAACACATCGGTGTGGGAAGGGTCCTAAAACACCCCATCCTCCCAGTGTCCAGAGCTCCGTGCTCAGGGCTCCCTTACCTAGTGTGAGCACTGTCAGGGTAGCAGAGGCTTCGACTTGGCCCAGGGCATTGCGGGCAAGGCAGCGGTAGGTGCCCTCATCGCTAGGACGCAAAGCCTGAATCTGTAGCCACCCAGTCACCTCAAACTTCTGAGGTCCACCCCTAAACTGGAGCCAGATGTGTTGTCAGCAAGGTCATTTGGGGAAGCCTTAGGTTTTCCGGGAGTACGTCCCCTGCTCCCTGTTCCTACCTGTACAGAGATATGGGGGTCATCCCCTGGCAGCTGCATGTCCAAACCATCTTTCCTCCACTCAATGGAGGCCATGGGATAGGCAAACACCTCACAGCCAAAGATGACATCCTGTCCAGTCACATTCCAAATATTGTGGGGCTGTGACACGATCTGGGGTTCTGGGGCAGGGGATGGAAGGGTGAGGCTTGAGAACAGGAAGCTGTATCCAGCTCAGCAAGAACGCAATTTACAAATTCACAGAACACAACACAACTCATGCTGAGGTCAACACACATCTGCAAAGAAAACATGCCATAAGCACAGACAGAGACCAACGTAGGGGCAGATACACACGAGAGCACAAAAGCAGGTAGAGACGCACAGGTACACAAAGCAGTGTGCAAATTGCACAAACAGGCCTTCAGACCCATAGCTTAGCTGAGCAATCACACACTGTCCCAGACTGCTCCCCTGTCCTCATTCCACCCTGGGGCCCGTTTCCTACGGGCTCTGTAACCAACACCGCTCTCCCTCCTTTCCCCTTTTCTAACCGGGCCCAGTTCCCAAAGGCCTGAAGTGCAGCCACATTCCAAATGTCGTGAGAATGTGACACGAGCTGGCCTCCGAGCAGGCGGAGGTGGGACTAGTGCCGAGGCTGGGAACCTGAAACCACCTGGACGCACCGGGGAAACTGCTGGGACCCCCTGGTGGCGCGTTTGTTTTCCTTGCTACTCCAGTCCAACAAGACTTGGTTAGGTAGAGGCTGAGGAAGTGAGAGCCGCCAAAGAAAACCTCAGCCTTGAACATCCCCCAACCCCAAGCCCAAGGATGAGGAGCGAGAGAAGCAAGAAGCCCTCTTCCTTTCCCTAATCCCTAAATGCTAGAGAAAAGGGGTAGGCGGGACCTTGGGTTAACAGGCTGCGTCTCACAAGAGTCCCTCTAAAGCAGTCTGGGCAAAAGCTTGGGGGTTGGGGGGAGTCTTTTCATTTCTGACCCAGCTATTATTGGCTAAGTGCCTTTTCCCTCCGAGACCGGTCCCTGCCAGTCTGGATAGGGTTCTCAGCAGCTCATTACATCAAACCTGCAACAGATCTCGACCTGCGTTTTAGTTGGCAGCCTTTGAGGCTCTAGGGCTCACTCATCTTTTCACTCTGTTGACCAAAGCTGTCTGGGATCGGTGCCTTTAGGAAGTGCGAGTCCTGGTACAAAGAGCTCTGGGTTTGCGTACCCGATTCGCAGGGCCCTGGATGCACCACAGTGAGGTTAGCATCAGGCCGAGCGCCGGCGGCCTCTTGCAGGCGGCAGATCTGCGCGTAGGTGCGGCCGTCGGAACCACAGAGTGGGCTCTGCGAGCGACAGACACACAGCGGCTCCGGCACCTCTCCTCGGCTCAGGTCACCGCCCGCGTCCAGCCGGCACTCGAGCTGCTCGCCACAGCGCCCGTAGAAGTTGGCGCTCGGGTCCAGATCGCAGAGCTGGCCCTCCAGGTTGGCGCATTCCCAGCAGCAACCGCACGCATCCTGCACCCGGCCTGCTAGGCAGCCCCGCGGCGCAGCGCACTCTTCTGGCCGGCAGGGAGCACAGCCCTCGCCCTCGGATAGTAGCCGCAGCCAGCCTCGCCGCAAGTAATCAGTGCCTATGGACCGCCTCGCGCTATTGGGGAGCGGGGTCCACAGCACCAGCAGTAACAGTAGCAGGGGCAGCGCCAGAGTTGGTGCAGCATGGTTAGCTGGAAGCCCTGTGAGCATTCGAGGCATCAGCGCGTAGGTGGCACCCTGCCAGGAGAGGGAAGCCAGGTCCGAAGGTCAGAAATAAACCCAATTCGGAAAGACCAGCCTCGTACAAAAGACTACTCCTCGTACAAAAGCTTGTTTCTAACATTGTCGCTTCCTCTGCTATCTTGGAGCCAACCAGAAGCCCCACCAAAGAGGCCTGGTTACTCCCTGGAGATTGATTGAACTGGTCTTGGGGGATAGAGAGTGAAGGCAGAGAGAAAGGGTGATAAAGGTTAGGATATGGTCCCTAACACGCATGAATGTTTACACACATGCACATACAGGCACACACGCGAACCATCTCCATAAAACACCCAACTTTGATGCACCATTGCCCGAGGTGTATAAAACTACACATGAAGTAAGTCCAGTTTAGGTGGTGATGCTGTGGGAGCCCAGCGACTCACCTAGTGCCTTGGATTAGGCCCTTCGTAACAGCTGTGATTTCGATTTCCAATCCTAAAGAACCGGCAGGGGAACGGAAAGAGATGCACGCACGGCCAGCCAGACCCGCTAGCCACCTCTGCTTTCTTCGGGAATCTCTGGCAGCCACAGACTGAGAGTCAAAGAGAAGCTCCTCCGCCCCCTCTCCCCGCCCCTAGAATACCCGCCTTCTTCCCAGGTTCTGAGACCGGTAATTTTACCTCGGTGCCTACAGGGACCCTCCCTGCGCCTTTTACTTCCACCCTAGCCCATAGTCACTGTGAGCGCTCAGAGCAGCCGCAACCGGATACCGAAGCTAGGAAAGTAATGGTGTGTAGGGACGAAGAGTAGGGGTGGGAATGGCAGAGGATCTCAAACTGTTGGCTGAACCCCTAGGTCCTGTCTCATCTCATTTAGTTTCTGCGAGCGGCAAACAGCTGCATGCATAATGGGAAGAAGGATGGGGTTCTGTTGCTAAGAAATTTTACGTTGATGTTTGGGTGCCTCTGGAGGGCAGGCCCAGGGCCGGCTTCCTCCGGGACAGTGTGCGGCTGTGCCCACCCAGTTTCTCCACCGGGGCGCATCTATCTGCCATCCCACATCTGGTCACCTCCCTCCCACTTTAGGGCAGGTGCTTGGACCCGCGAGGAGCCCTGTGATTAGAGGTCGGAACTGGCTAGCGGCCGCAGAGAGGCCGACGGGCGACTCCCTTTAGGGCGTCTCTCGGGGTCCGGATTACAGGTTGCAAATTTGAGGATCGCAGGGCCTGAAGCGTTTAGCCTGGAGACGGCCACCAACGCCACGGTGGCACTTTGGGATGAGGGCAGGAAGCAAAGCATCCCCGGAGACCCGCCCACCACCCTGAGAAAGGCAGGCTCCGCCCCTGCCGGCCCCCAAACAACTTCCAGAAGTCGCACTCCACCGAGGGGGAGGAAACTCGGGTTGGGCGAAAGGGGCAGGGCTTGTCTAGGCTCCGCCCAGGATACGGCACAGGCCCCGACTACGCGTGCGCACGGGCCCGGGACGCCCTGGCGGTACTGCGGCCTGAGAGAGCGCTCTCTCCGGTGTGAGCTCGACCAAGCCCTCCGCAAAGGACCGTTCCGTCCGCACAGACGCTGCTCCTGGCCAGAGGCTTTCTGACGGAGGTGGACGAGAACTGTACACTGACAATCCCAAACTCCGAGGAGACGGGAAGCCAGTGTCACGCGATGTTTCGGAACAGTCGCGAGAATCGGAACGTGAAAATAGGCATGCTGAAGAAAAGCCCGCGGGTTTTAAGGCAGAAAGGAACGGGAACAAGCAGATGTTGACGGTAGTTCTAGGCTATCCCTGGGCGGAAGGGAACCGAGGACTGCAGAGTGTTCTGGAAGAGGCGCGAGGAGCGCTTGCCTAGCGGAGGGATGGGCGCGCTCTTGGGGTCCCTAGCCATGGCTGACAGTGCTCCTTGGGGCGGCGATCGTCCCCCGCCGTAGGGGGGAGCGGTCCAGGAGATGTAGCTGAACCGTGAGCTTCCAGCGCCAGGAGCCACTTTCAAACTCGCCAGCGTCAGGGTCCTAGGCGTTCCTTCCACCTCATCGTTACAGGTGTTTGTGTTAGTCTTGGCTACACATTGCGCTTCTGGTAGAAACCACGCCTAATTCACCACTGTGTTTTAGGACTCCCTACCCCCCGCGACTGGCTGCTAAGTAAGTTCTTGTGCATTAAAAGTGAAAGACTCCCCGACTCTGAAAGATGACTTTTATCTGAATTTTCTGCCACTGAGAGGCTAGGGATTAAATCGACGGAGAACGAGCGCCCTCTGGTGGGCTTGCAGCAGCTGGGACTATGACAGTGCATACTATTTACACTAGGGATCCACTGTAACTTTGAAAAACTTATTACTGTAACTTTTGTGATGCTGACGAGTAAACCGGGAGCCTTTTATATGTTAAGTCAGAACTATGTCTCTGGACTGCAGTTCCAACCCTGTAATAATATTTTGGAATAGATTTGTTCGCATAAAACAGTTTGAAAGCCTAGCTAGTCGGATTCCCATATGCTCACCATCGGACACTATTGCGTCCCTTTTAAAACACGTTAAACAACAGCGGTGTGCATTAGAAGTAGTAAAAGAATTTACATTGCTTATGCTTTAAAAGGTTGACTTGGTTTGACCAGCTTCCTATTGTTGGGCCAAAGGAAAGTATTTTTAGTTCATTCGGTGCAGTCACTACCAGGCACGCATACGCACGAGGGAGGCAAGATTCAGATGAACTCCTGATGGTTAATCTTTTTCTAACAGTTATTATTGTGTTTGTTAGGAAAAATCCTAAGACGCTCCATATGTGTATGTGTGTATGTGAGCAGGCACGTGCGTGCATACACCTGTTTGGAGCTCGGGATAATTTTCAAGACTCAGATCATCTCCTTCCATCTTGAAGTCATCAGACCTGCATAGCAAGCGTCCTTACCTTCTGAGCCATCTTGCTGTTCCCTAATCTTTTTTCTACATTCATTTATTTATTTGTATCTATAGATGCTCAAGTGCATGTGTGCACACTCTGTGTACAAGCATGGAGGTCAGAGAGACGACCTGCGCGAGTGTTCTCTTCCACCTTGCGAGCTCTAGGAACTGAATTCCTTCAGGCTTAGTGCCAGTGCCCCACCTCTGAGCCATCTCTCCAAACCCCTTAAATTTTTTTTTAATATGGTAGAAGCCAGGAATGGTGGCACATGCCTGTAATCCCAAAACTCAGGAGGTGTACATAGGAGGATCAGTTCAAGATCATCTTTGGCTGCACAGGGAGTTTGAGGTCAGCTGGGCTACACAATACCCTGTCTCCAAAAACAAACAACAGGAAAAGCTCTTGGAACTACTGGGGAGCACTCACTTTATGGCCTCTACCTCATGAAGTTAGTTTTGGTACAGTTATTGAAAAATAGTGGGGCATCATTTTGAGGAGGAACAAATGGTCTACACTGACAGAATGGATACAGATGGACTGCGCTTCTTATGAATATTAGAATCAATTAAGTCAGAAAGACTCAAGCTAGGTGATTAAGATGAAATGCTTTGTGTTGCCTTCTATGACAGATAGGTGCCCTCATTAAAGTAGAAAATAAGATTAAGATAAGTATATAGATCCTGACCACAACTGTGTAAAGATGGATCATAAATATCAGTAAATACCCTGAGAGAATTTGGAATACGGTTGAGTGTAATGCTCACTATCCTTTATTTTGTAAAATTATTTTTATAATGAAAGAGTAGAGGCCAATCTCCCATACTACCCAAAAACATGAATAGAGACTCTCTTAGGTAAATTAGAATATTGAAATAAATATAGAAAATTGAGTCAGCCAGATAGGAAGATGAATATTGTAATTTAGCTACAAGTAGCATTACAAAATGGATGTAGCATAGCCAGTAACTGACTTCTGTAACACCTATGCACTCAGGCAAGCTGAATGGGTTTTAAAACATCTACACAAACAGCAGCCCAGTGGTTTCTTTAGTTCATCCTTCTTCCTCCATCTCTGGACAGTTTGTTTCTGTCACCTACAGCCTACCCCTAATATCTCCTCTTCTGCTTTTGACCACCTGATGATCAGTTTTTGTAAGAATAAAGTTGAAAAGAATACTTAAAGTAGCCTACATTTATTTAAAATTTCATTTATTATGTGTAAATGCAGATGCACACACGCTGCTGCAGGTAAGTGGAGGAGGCCAAAGAACAAGCTGAGCAGGTTTTCTTTCTCCTGCCATCAGATGTGGGGACTGAACTCGATTTGCCAGACTTTACAGCAAGTGCTTCCCACTGAGCCATCTCACCAGCTGCCTTGCTGTGTTTGCTGTTCTGGCTCCCTCTGCTCTTTAGACAGGGTCTCACTTTGTAGTCCTGGGTGACTGGAACCTGCTGTGTAGAGCAGACTGGCTTCAAACTCACAGACAACGACAACCCATCCCTTAGTGCACTATTTATTTCCCTTCCCCTTTCAACTTCCCCTCTCCTCCACTGTGCTGAAACATAACTGAGACAATCCCTAGACTAGGGATATAGCTAGAGCCCTTGCCTTGAATAGTACTGAAAATTAAATTCTCTGAGACAGTCCCTTATAAGTGGTATATTTGTGTTTTAATAAATAAAGCTTGCCTGAAGTTCAGAGGACTAAGAAGCTGTACTAGTCAGCCATAGAGGCCAAGGAGTGGTGGCACACACCTTTAATCCCAGGACTTGGGGACAGAGGCAGGTGAATCTCTGTTGAGTTCTCTTTAAGAGTTTCTCTTAAAGAGAAACAGTTCACACAAAGGTGATCCCAGCATGCCTTTAATCCCAGCATTAGGGAGGTGGAGACAGGAGCAATATGGCTGGAAGGAGAGAGGAATATAAAGAGAATGTGGAGTTTGAGGATTCGTGGAGACAGGATCTGGCCTCTTCAGTTTGAAGACTTGGTAGAGGTAAAAGGTCTCTGGGTTTTTATTATTCATGTTACACCAAGCTGGGTGGTGGTGGCGCACGCCTTTAATCCCAGCATTCAGGAGGCAGAGGCAAGCAGATCTCTATAAGTTTGAGGCTAGCCTGGTCTACAAGAGCTAGTTTCAGGACAGGTTCCAAAGCTACAGAGAAACCCTGTCTTGAAAAACCTTAAAAAAAAAAAAAAAAGAAAAGAAAAGTCACCAATCATTCAAGTTGTACAAGAACAGGGCACATCAGCTGCTGGTCTTCCAATGACACCAACAGCCTTATCTTTAAAATGGTTGACATTTTAAAATGGGTTAAGCAATGACCTTTAACAACAGAGAAACTTTAAAAGCAGACTTTAGAACAGCTGGTACAGGAGCAACTAAATGCTCCACATTTTTAAAGAATCAACCAGCCCTTGGAATTCTCCTGTATTTGTTGTTAAAAATAAATCTGGGAAATGAAGAATGGTAATAGACATAAGAGCTGTTAAAAAGGCGATCCAGCCAATGGGCTCGCTACATAAACAGAGTAAAAAATGCCTAAAGATGGCCTCTTAGAGTTTCTGATTTAAAAGATTGCTTCTTCACTATACCTTTACAAGAAAAAGACAGAGAAAAATTTGTCTTCACAGTGCTCACTTATAATAATTCTCAGCCTGCTAAAAGATATCAATGGAAGGTTCTCCCAGGGCATACTAAATAGCCCCAGCCTGTGCCAATATTTTGTAATTCAGCCATTGAAAATGATAAGTAAGCAATTCCCTGAATCTATAGTTTATCATCACATGGATGGCATTTTACTGTCTGATTCAAATGTAGATACTTTAGAAAGAATAAAGAAGTAAAGAGAATTTTGTCTTGTTGGGGATTACATATTGCTTCTAAAAATACAAAGAGAAGATTTTATTAATTATTTAGGCTATAATATAGGCTTACAAAACATTAGACCCCAAAAGTGCAAATTAGGAGAGATCATTGCAGATTCTTAATGACTTCCAAAGATTACTAGGAGACATTTCCCATCTGTGGCACACTATTGGGATAAAACTTGATAACCTAATTAATTTAAACAAAACCTTAGATGGTGATAAGAATTTAAATAGTTCCAGGGAATTATCAGCTGAATCTGAGAGAGAATTGGTTTTTATTGAAAGGAAATGACAGAAGGAATGTGTGAACCATGTGGATCTGAATCTTAACTGAATTCTGGACATACTACCCTCCAAATAGTCCCCTACAGGAATTTTATTGCAG